GTTAGTCAGTGCATTCCAATCCCTGATTTGTTTGTGAGAATGTGTTAAGACTTGACCACCTCTTTTCCGAGCTTGATGACATGACTGCTAGTGGAAACCAGGAGAGCTACTTGATTTGCACGTTTTACAGAAATTGCTGAGGTGGTAAATAGTGAGGAGGATATCCTTAGACTACAAGAGGACACAGGCAGGTCAGTGGGAAATAGAATTCAATTCAGTTAAACATGAGGTGATGCACTTGGGAAGGACAGACGAGACAATGGAATATACAACGAATGGTAGGATCCTGCTAAGTGCCAGGGATCACACAGACTTTCGTGTGCATATACGCTAGCCACTTAAGCTATCAGGACAAGTGAATAAAGTGGTTAAGAGGACGTATTGCATTTATTAGTTGAGGCCCAGAGTTTTAAGAGCTGGGAGTTTGTGCTGATACTGTATTAAATGCTGGTTAGGGCACAGCTAGAGTATTGTGTGCAGTTCTGGAATCCACATTATAAGAGATGTGATAACACTGAAGAGGGTGCAGTGGAGATTTACCAGGCTGTTACTTGGGCTGGAGCTTTAGGAAGAAATTAGAAAGTCGGGGACAAAAACAGAAGTTGCTGGAAAAACTCAGCAAGCCTGACAGCATCTGTGAAGAAAAAGAATCAGAGTTCATGTTTCCCTTTAAAGCAGAGGAAATTGAGAGGTGTCTTGACTGAGGTGTATAAAATTCTGAGGAGCATAGATAGCATAGACAGAGAAAAAACTTTTCCCTTTGATGGAGGGATCAATGACCAGGAGGCATTGATTTAAGATAAGGGGCAGAAGGTTTAGAAGTCACATGAAGAAAACTTTTTCACCCAGAGGGTGGTGGGAACCTGGAACCCTCTGTTTGTTAGGATGGTAGAGGCAGAAACACTCTTAATATTTAAGAATTATTTAAGATATACAAGTCTTTGGGCTAAGTGCTGGAACATGGGATTAGAATGGTTAGGTAGTGCATGTGGAACAAATGGTGTTTGAAGGGTTGGAAGAATGGGTTGTTTTAAGGTTTGGGTGCTGCATCTGATGCCTAAACTTTGCCTCTATACACTCTACTTTGTGTTCGATTCCATCCTGAATGAACTTTTTCTGTTCTTTTCTGCCACAAGCCAGGAGTTCTTGTGAGTTATGTGAGAATGTGTTCTGAGATGCTTTAAGGGCATCCCTAAAATGTTTCAAAGTCTTCAGTACTGACTGAGTCCCAAGTGGAGTAATTGCTTCAGGAGGATGGTGTCAGGCATATGAACCTGCCTGATTGAGCTGCTTTTGAGTGCCTCAAACCTAGACAGTTTTTTGGTTTGGGAAAGAATGTTACTGTTGGACCAGGTTTCTTACCACTGGATTTAGAGGATCTTGCAAAGGCATCATCAGTTCTACGTCTTCATTGCTTTGGGTTTTTGCTTTAGGATGCTCAAGCGTTTGGGAGTACCGGGATCAAAACTGTCCAATAAAACCATGACCTTAGACTCAGAATTCATGTCCTGGTCCTCCATTAATCGTCAAACCCATTATGCTATATTGGCTTATATGTTAAATATTTGGAGAAGAAATAAAGTTCTTCTGACTTGGGTAAGAACCCTGTTCCCACATAATAAGTGGAAAATGAGTTGAGAAGACAGCAGTTAAGCTACAACACTTCACTCAAATAAAATTTGTTTGTGAGCAGATTTCTGCCAGATGGAGCTTAACTATTGAAGAAAAGATAACAAACTACAGTTTACATTTTCGAGATTATTTTGCATTGATAAACTTTGGAAGAAGAATAAGATTAGAGAGATGAAGTAATTTTCCTAATTATCATTATTTCTTCTTAAGTCACCTGTCCTCTAGTGTTAATGATAACCTTCATTTTTCAGCATTTAGTGTTTTCATAAGAGTATAAAACCTTTAATGACTGCATTAGGTACAATCTGAATTTCCTTATTTGAGACTATCATTAATCAATATTGTGCAATAGATTTCTAAATTAGAGAAGGACCAGTTCCTTGTTTTGAGATCCCTATCTTTCTCACTTCTTGCTTTCATAAATCTTTACTAAGGCATTTCAGTATTAAATGCCAGAACTGTTTCCAGAACTTCCGAGAGCAGCTGATTTGTTTTAAAGAATAAACTGTTTCATTGTCTTTCTCTTGTCATTATTGGTTACGGTGTTCATTAAATTTGTTTTGAACTCTTGTATATGAAGAATGGTATCCTAGCAACTGAAATTTTAAGCAATGTGTTATTAACGCTGTGGTGGTATATGAGTACAGTCAACACCTAAGTGACAGAAATTTCTGGGCAACTGTAAAATGGCACATGTAACCAAAGCACCGACAGCAATCCCCTGAAACTGGATTAACTACAGTTTGGGTATCCACAACACCTGAGCTCTGAACACAACTGACCTGAAAACTGAAGGTCTTTTCAGTAATGGACCTGTAAGCATGCTGAGTTCGGGCCCTTTAGTGGGGGGAAAAAAATGCTTTTAGTCCAAATGGACCTAATAAAAAGGAAGCTTTTTTTTTAAAACCATAGGCCCGAACTCAGCGTTTCTACAAGCCTGTTCAGGCCTTTTGGGGGACAAAAAGCTTCACTTTTGGGTCCATTCACGTTAAGCAAGGACTTTTTTCCAAAGGGCCTGATGGGCCCAAATTGACTATAGTGGACCTAAAAACAGAAAATATCCTTTATCTGAAAACCTGTTGGTCCCTAAGGTTTTCAGATATAGGATTCCCAACCACGTTTAATGTATACAGTAAAAAGTGAAAACACCTTTTTTTGTATGTATTTTTGATCATCTTAATCCATTTGCTCTTGTACATGAGGAACTGATTGTAAAAATATAACCAACCAAGCCATTGTCATAACTACCATGATTTCATATGATTTAATCCATTCTTTAGAATTTCCAAATTCCACTTTACTGAAAGCACATTTAAATTGTGAGAGACCTATATGCTACAATTTGGTTTCTAAGATGCACATCTTGCAGTAACTGCCATTTGAAAATCTTCCTGGATATTCTCTTCATTTCAGTATAAAATAGCATGAATTTATTTTTTCATTAAATTAGTAACAAATGGGCTGAACTGAGAATAGAACACAGAATAATACAGCACAGCCCTTTGGCCCAACATGTCTGTGCTGACCATGATGCTATTCTAAACTAATCCCATCTACCTGCACGTGGTCCATTTCCCTCAATTCCCTGCCTGTTCATGTGTCTGTCTAAGTGCCTCTTAAACATCGCTAGCATCTCTGTTTCTACCACCTCCCCTGGCAGTGTGTTCCAGGCACCTACCACCCTCTGTGGTCTTTTTTTAAAAAGAAAGTCCTCACACATCTCCTTTAAACTTTTTACCTCACACCTTATGCCTATGTTGTCTAGTATTTGACATTTCCATGCTGGCAAAAAGATTTCGACTATTCACCCTATCCATGTCTCTCAAAAATCTTATATACTTCTATCAGTTTGCATCTCAGCCTCCGACACTCGAGTGAAAACGATCCAAGTTTGTTGCTCGTACACTCCAATCCAAGCAAGATTCTGATAAACTTCTTCTCTACAGCCTCCACATCCTTCCTGTGGCATAGTGACCAGAACTGCACACAGTACTCGAAATGTAGCCTAACTAAAGTTTTATACAGCTGTAACATGACTTGTCAACTTTTATACTCCCTTCCCAAACTGATGAAGGCAAACATGGTGTATGCCTCCTTGTCCATTTGTGTTGCTACTTTCATGAACTTCCACCCCAAGAGCCCTCTGTATATCAATGCTCCTAAAAGTCCTATTATTCACTGTATACTTTCTTCTTACATTTGACCTTCCAAATGCATTATCTCACACTTGTCCAGATTAAACTCCATCTGCCAATTCTCTACCCAACATTCCAACTGGTCTATATCCTGCTGCATCCTTTGATAATCTTCTTCACTATCCACAACTCTAACAATTTTTCATGTCATCTGCAAACTTACTAATCAAACTGCATAAATTTTCATCCAAATAATATACGTATACTACAGACAAAAGTCCTAGCACTGATCCTTGTGGAACACCACTGGTCACTGACCTCTACATAGAAAAATATTCCTGCACAACTGCACTCTGTCTTCTATTACCAAGCGACCAAGCCAATTTGTGTCCAATTTGCCAACTTCCCCCTGGATGCGATGTGACTTAATTTTCTGGACCAGCCTACCATGGGGGACCTTGTCACATACTTTACTAAAATCCATTTAGACAATATCCACTGCCCTACCCTCGTCAATCATCTTTGTTACTTCCTCAAAAAACATAATTATCTTTTGTGAAACAAGACATCCCCTACATAAAGCCATGCTGACTATCTCTAATAAGTCCGTTCCTCTTCAAATATGAGTAAATCATGTGCTTAAGAATCTTTTCTAATAATTTCCCTATCACTGATGTAAGGCTCACCAGCCTATAATTTCTTGGATTTTCTCTGTTGCCCACCTTAAACAAAAGAACAACATTGGCTATTCTCCAGTTTTCCAGGACCCCTCCTGTTGCTAAAGAGGATGCAAAGATCTCTGTCAAAGTCCCAGCACTGTCCTCCCTTGCCTCTTTCAGTATCCTGGGTTAGATCCCATCAGACTCTGGGGACTTATCTATCTTAAAGTTTTTCAAGACACCCAACATGATCTCCTTCATATCGACATGACCCAGAATATCAACACAACCCTCCCTAATGTTACCATCATCTATATCTATCTCTTGTCATCCAATGTTCCCAAATCTTGCCATTAATTTGCATCCTCCCAGGAACATGCCAGTGCTGAACTCTAATCAACTGGCCTTTTGAAAGACTCCCACATGTGACATGTGGATTTACCCTCAAACAGTCGCCGCCAATCTAATTTCTCAGCTCCTGCTTTATATAATTGTAATTAACCTTTAATCTTGAAGGAAAAATAAGCAATTTGTGGAAATCTAGTTCACTTACCACTTTCTCTGTGTTCCGCAGGTTGTTGGAAGAGGAGCTTTTGGAGTTGTGTGTAAAGCAAAATGGCGTGGAAAAGATGTAGCTATAAAGCAGATTGAAAGTGAATCAGAGAGGAAAGCATTCATCGTAGAGGTAATTTTGTTACGTGTACCTTTTCATATTTGGAATTGAGGATCATAATCTGCAAATTTGGTTCAGGTTGTTTTTGTTAATGAGCATAAATTGGCATAAAATCAGCAGATGAATTTCGGCTCTTCCCAACATATCATTAAAGCACAGCTAAAGAATTTTTTAAAAAATTGATAGGTCTGGTTCCATAATGATTGCAAGGACTTGCTTAGTTAGGAGATAGGTTTCTAACTATTACATCCCCTTACATTTTCTCAAGGACAATTGAGGATGGGCAGCAAATGCTGGCTTTGCCAGGAACACATGCATCCCATTCAAAAAAAAAAATGTAGTGGCTTTTAACTATATCGTGAAAGAGAAGCCAAATATCTCGCAGAAAGACACCATAAGCCCCTCTCCCAGCTCTCTCAGTATTTGGAACAATTTTAGCAAGGAGTTTTCAGATCCTGTTTGCCTGGAAAGCGATGCCTGGTATATTTCAAATCTTTGGATTTATATTTGGGTATGTGTGGGATTAGAACCCTGAGAGAGGTTTCTGGATGAACACCTTTGAATTCAAAATATTTTTGAGCCTCTTTGTGATGTGATATGCTTTATAATGTGTAGTGCCCATAAGGTACTAAGCTACAAATGCTAATTGCTAAACTAGAGAGATGTTGCCAGTAAAGAAAATTATGTACTTGGTACGATTGAGCTTGTGTGTTTTTTTAATGGATAATTAAACAATCCTGTGCTTCCAGCAGAGAGTTGTGGTTACACAGCACAAGTGATAGTATCAAGATTCAGTATGAAGCTGTGTTCCCAATGTTTTTAAAATGAATGAGTTTAGCAGCTGCTAACATTGCTGAGAATTCCAGATAAACACAGCAACGTACACACTGTTATTCTAAGACCCTACGTAATGAATCTATTCTATGAATGTTTATTTACAAAATTATAATTGTATATGTTACATTTCTAAGCTGTTTCTTCTACCGTTTTTAGGAATCAATATCATTAGGTTATACATAAACAGGCTTCAAATTCCATGTGAACCAATGTGTAAATATATCTGCCTGACATTTAAATAAATTTAATAAGACTGAGGGACTGTATGGAGAATCTTTGTTACTGCACTGCAGCTTACTAGATGAACAGATCCAGAAGAGATTAGCCAGCTGCAGACAATTATAAACAAAAGATGGCAAGACCATATGTAGTCTTATTCCTGAGTTTGCCTGTTATTTAATGAGTGTTGCCTGATACTTAGACAAGTGTTTTTCTTGGGCTGACTGGGAGCATTATGGGATTTTGAAAGGCCTGGTTTGTACATCAAGGTTGCTTTTCTTTTACACAATTAAAAAAAATAAATTAGCGGCAGCTAATTAGCAGTGTAGAAATTATCCTTTTAGCATGATAATCATTTTAAACTTCAACTGAAGTTGTTAATTCTGCAAGAGCGTTTATTAACGTAGCAAGGGTTTAAGTTTTATATAACACTGCACAGAAGTGAATGTGAAATTATACTCAAATTTTTATTCATTAATCTGTTTTCTGTACCACTTTATTTTATAGTTTTGTGAAATACACAAAACTCAAGTAACATTGCATATGAAATTTACTGTAATCTTGATTATTTGTCCTTGTCTGGTAGTCAGAAAAACAAAACTTGCATTATTGCATAGCACTTAATACAATGTCTTCTCTAATAAATTTGACCTTAAAGACTTAAAAAATTCAGCTTCATTTTATTTGTATTGTAATTGTCTTAATTTGTATTCCTAGGGTGTTGCTGTACTATCTGCCTAATATCACATTTGGGGACTTCTGATTATCTGTTTGTTTCATAGAGTCATACATCGCGGAAATGAACCATTTCGTCCAACTCAGCCATGCTGATCAGGTTTCCTAAACTGAACTAGTCCCATTTGCCTGCACTTGGCCCGTATCTCTCTCAACCTTTCCTATCCATGTACCTGGCCAGATGTGTTTTAAATGCTGTAATTGTACTCACTTCTACCACTTTCTCTGGTAGCTTGTTCTGTATAGAAACCACCCTCTGTGTAGAAAAGTTGCCCTTCAGGTCCCTTTTTAAATCTTTCTCCTCTCATCTTAAACCCATGGCTTCTAGTTTTGGACCCCCCCTACCCTGGGGAAAAGACCTTGGCTATTCACCTTGTGTCCCTCATGATTTTATTAAAGTCATCCCTCAGCCTCCTAAGTTCCAGGGGGGGAAAAAGTCCCAACCTATCCAGCCTCTCCTTATGACTCAAACCCTCTAGTCTTGGTACCATTTTTGTACCTTTTCCAGTTTAACAACATCCTTCCAATGCAGGGCAACCAGAATTGTACACAGTACTCCAAATGTGGTCTTACCAATGTCTGATGCAGGTGTAACATGACATCCCAACTCCTGTATTCAATGCTGTTTCTGTATTTCCTTTCCTTTTGTGGATGGGTAGTCTATACACTACATAATCAATGGACGTTACCAGCATAGATTTGTGCCTCATTTTATTTTGTTTTATGATTTTTTTTCTATTTTATGTTACAGCTTCGGCAGTTGTCACGCGTAACGCACCCCAATATTGTAAAACTGTATGGAGCTTGTCTGAATCCAGTAAGTAATTCAAATTGTACCTATCATTTCAGATTGTATCATCTAATTGTGCATTGCTATTGCTGTTGGTTGAGTTTTAAAATTTTAAAACTTTACTTCTTGAGCTAAAAGCAATGTCAGAACTGCAGGATTGAAATCTTTTCCAAGCCATCTCTGTTATAGAGTCATACAGCACGGAAACAGACATTTCGGTCCAACCAGTCCATGCCGACCATAATCCCAACTGAACTAGTCCCACCTTCCTGCACTTGGCCCATATCCTTCCAAATATTCCTTATTCATGTACTTATCTAAATGTCTTTTAAACTTCGTAACTCTACCCATACCTACCACTTCCTCTGCAAGTTCATTCTACACACAAACCACTCTGCGTATAAAATAAAAAATGCCCCTCGTCTTATTTAAATCTTTCTCCTCTCATCTTAAAATCTTGAAGTAGTCTTGAAATCCCCACCATAGTGAAAAGATGCCTGTCATTCATGTGATCTATACCCTTCATGATTTTCTAAACCTCTAAAAGGACACCTCTGAACCTCCTTTGTTCCAATGAAAAAGTCCCAGCCTATCTAGCCCTCCTGCTACATTCCCAGCAACATCTGGTAAATCTTTTCTGAACCTTTTCCAGCTTAATAAAATCCTTGGTATAACAGAGAGATCAGAACTGGACATAGTACTCCAGAAAAGGCCTCGCTAACGTCCTGCACAACCTCAACATGACGTCCCAACTCTTAATTTTAAAGGTCTGAGCAATGAAGGCAGGCGTGGTAAAGACCTTAACTACCCTATCTCTATGTGATGCAAACTTCAAAGAATTACATGCCTGACATTTTAGGTCTGTCTGTTCTACAACACCACAATGTTGTTAAGAGACATCTCTCTCCACCTTTTTAGAGCTTTCTTTAAACTTCTTAACCAAAACGTCATCCAAACCCTCCATTATTCTAGAATCATCCTGGAGAGCATAAGCAGTTCATGGCGTTTTTTTCACTAGCAATTATCAATACCGACCTGACTAAAGTTTGCATTTCCATGTCACTTCTTTAACATTTAAAAAAAAAAATTCCAAACCCTTTTACAGGTCAAAAAGATAGATTTTAACGAGTGCTTAAAGGAGGTTTGGGAGATTGAAGAGCCAGAGATGTTTAAGGAGAGAATTTTGAGCATGCAGGCCAGCTGGCTAAAGACACTGTCATCATCATTGGGCAAAGAAGTGGCATAGATAAAGATTAGAGTTAAAAGTTCAAGTTTGAATTATACTGTAAAATCAGCTTACAGTTGAAATGGTGCTGGAATTAGTGGCAGAATGTCATTTTGGCCCTACAGTAGTGGCTTTAATCTTACCAATGTTAAAATGAAAGAAATAGCTTATCCACAACTGGATACAAATATACAGCATTGGAGGAGAAGTTAAACCATTTGACTCCTCAAGCCTGCTCTGCCATTCAATAAGATCGTGATTAATTTTCTGTGGATTTGAGGTTACAATCAAATCAGCCATGATCTTATTGAATGGTGGAGCAGGCTGGAGGGACTCGGTGGACTACTCCTGTTCTTTGTCTGTGTGTTCAAATGATCTATTTATATTTCAAATTCCACACTCCCATCCATCCTTGATAACTTTAGATTCTCCTTACACAATGGAATCAATCTGCCTGCACCTTAAATTCAATGTTACCCCGCTTCCACCATCTTCTGAGTTCAAAATCGCACAACCCCTCTGTTCTGAAAGGTGACCCCTAATATTCCAACAGTGCCCCAGTAAGGACTCACCCAAAAGTGAAAAATGTCCATTTGCCGTTCATTTGTCAAGGCCATTCAGGATCTTATAAAGTTCAGTCAAATCACCCCTCTTCTAAAGTCCAGTAGAAACAAGGCCAACATGTCCCATCTATCCTAATAAGGCACACCACTCATTCTAATGTATTATTCTAGTAAAATGCAACTGGACCACCTCCAATGCATTACCTTCACTCCTTAAATAAGGAGAGAAAAACTGCTCATAATGCTCAATATTTGATCTCACCACTGCCTTATATAGCTGAGGCCTAACATGTTGCTTTTGTGTTCAATTCCTGTCATAATAAAGGATGACATTCTATTAGCCTTCTTGATGTGCTGTACCGTATCTGCATACTTATCGTTTCTGATGCGTGCAGTAGAGCAATTCTTCTGTTCCTTGGATTTCCACAGTCATTCTCTGTTTAAGCAGTACTCTACTTTTTCATTCATTTTCCTGCCAAAGTGAACAATTTCAACATTTCCCACTCTAGATAAATCTCACAGAGTATTAAAGGTGAAAAGCAAGGTAGAGTGAGTATTCCAGTTCTGTACCCATCAGTTATGGAGGGACTAAAATACAATGCACAGGAGGCCTTAATTAGAGAAGCATACAAGGAATTAGAGGTATCTTTGGCAGTTTGACTGGAAAAGATCAGAGATGGGGAGAGTTGAGGCCATGGAAGAAAAAATGGTGAGAATTTTAAGATCAAAACATTGCATGATCAGGAGAAGGTCAGCCTGTGCAAAAGTGATAGGGGAACAGGATTTGCCCCAATTTAAAGCACAGACAGCAGTGTTTTGGATGACCTTCAATTTATGTAGTGTTGAATATGCAAGACCAGGCAGGAGTGCACAGGATTAGTCAAGTAAGCTGGAGTGTGTTCCCTGGAAATCAAAGTTGAGGGGTGATTTAATATAAATTTTAAAGATATCAAGAAGAATAGATAGGGTTGATAAGGAGGAACTATTTGAGGTTTTAGGGCATTGTTTAAAAGAAGACTGAAGGCAGACATTTAGGAATGAAATTAGGAATCTCTTCTACATGCATAGGGTTGTAAATTATGCAACTCTCCTCTATAAAAGACAATTGATGCCAGGTCAGTTGTAAATTTTAACTCTGAGATTGATGGATTTTTGTTACCCCATGGTATTAAGATATATGGAGCAAAGGTGGTTGTATGGAGAAGATTGCAGATCAGTTATGATCTCTGAATTGCAGAACAAACCCAAGGGCCTAAATGGGTGACTGCTATTCCTATAGCAGCAATAGAGGAGTTGAAAGATGTGGTTGTCAGTGTGCCTGTGGAAGCTGATCCCGATGATTTTAGGTAAGGACTAATATGTGACTTCGAAGAAGTGGAATTTGGATGGATCTTGGGGTCTCCAGAACGAATGATGTGGAATCGAAGGAAAGAAAAACAGTGCAGCTAATATTCTAGCTGCAGTGTTCAGAGCTAAGAATAACCAATGTCTCTTGAAATGGATAGTGGAGCAAACCTTAAAAGTTGTTGATGTGGTTCACTAGACTAAAGACTGTTGAAGGGGAGGTAACTTTACTGAAGAGAATTGAATGGGAAATTGTAAACAGAATGGTTCAGCCTGAGACAATGGCTGTGGATGCTGGATAAAATAGATGCCAAGGGTATGCAGTTCATGGTGAAATTTTCCAAGTGCTTCATTGGAGAAAGTTTTGCCTTAAAGCTGATTGTCGGACAAGCCATCTGACAACACTAAGGGCCTGAGAGATGTTCTGGGCAGAACAGGACTGTATTGATGGTATTCATTTTGAAGTTGACCACAAATCTGCAGGAGACTTTTGCAAGATGGCTGTATATAAAAAAGGGTGGGGGTCTCCACAGATGGTAATGTTGGGGGAGAAGTGAGACTGTCAGAAGACAGGGCCTAAACAAATACTTTGTTTTTGTTCCTGAAATCAAAGTTGCTGGAAAAGCTCAGCAGGTCTGGCAGCATCTGTGAAGGAAAAAAAGAGTCAACGTTTCGGGTCCCGGTGACCCTTCCTCAGAACCGGACCCAAAACATTAACTCTTTTTTTTGTTTCCTTCACAGATGCTGCCAGATCTGCTGAGCTTTTCCAACAACTTTGTTTTTGTTCCTGATTTACAGCATCTGCAGTTCTTTCGGTTTTTAAATACTTTGATTTACCTTACCATCTTATTTCATTGCACATTTCCTGACCCATGGTTACATTGTTCAAAATGCACTAGGAGGAGTTTTATTAAATGTAGTGAACTGCTAGGATTTGCATTTTGTACAGTATTTTTAAGTAGAGATAAAATTCCCTTTTCCACCTTGAAGTTTAAAGCAGAGAAAATTTATCATTTCCTCCGTATCGCACCCCCCCCCCCCCCCAAAAAAAAACCCCGCTAACATTTTTCTGCATTTGTGAAATCTTTCAGTGGAATAGTTTTACTGAGAAGATTCAACATGTGCATTCACAATGTATGTTGCTTACAGCTCTACTTCAGTCTGTTGGCTAATTAGAAGGGAAAATAGAATAGTTTAGATATTTTATAGTAACAATTTTGGATAAATCAAAAAATGCTTAATTTTTAAAATTGCTTTTTATTCTAAATGTGGGATTTATTTTTGTCATTAAAATTTAGGGTCATTTCAGTTCATTTAAAAGGTTTCTGTGGGTGGTTTAAAATGCATTAATTCAATTAGGGTTTTGACTGAAATTTGTTTTTGGTCAGGTGATATTCTCTCTCAACTAAAGGCAGAATCAGTATTTCATTCAAAGTGGCTGAAGATTCTTGTAATTGACTGATTCCTTACAGGTCTGTCTCGTTATGGAATATGCAGAAGGAGGCTCCCTTTACAATGGTAAGTCGAAATCCCAATTATATTGATGTCTGTCCCTGTGAAACTGTGATGTTTGCATATGTATTCCTATCTATATGAAAAATTTCCTGTGGCTTTTAAATTAGAAATGTACGTGATGTTAGAAAAATCGCAAAAAAAAGTCTAAATTCTGTTTCCCTAACCTTTAAGTAAAATGAGCAATACGGTGATGTGGCACAGGCACTGAGTCTAACACACTAGGTTTAATCCCTGGTTTGTTCTTTGCTTAGGAATTTTGACTTGAGCAACATTAGGGATTTTTCAATTGGGCTTGGCACCTCTCAATTGAGAGGAGAGGGTGAAATGTCATACTACTTTGAGTCTTCAACCAACCTTGTTGGAAAGTGTGTGTTAGATGAGGACAATATCAGATTTAGCTGTGATGATGTTCACAACAATTCAGTTGCAGATGCTGTGAAAATTCTCAAATGAAACACGACCATGTGAGTGAGGTATTGTTAGGCACCTGTCACGTAAAGAAGTGTATCCCTGCAAGAGTGTATTTGTTGAACAACACAAGACAAACAGAACCTGAGACACAAAGTATGATGGAGAAGAAATTACCTGAAACCGCAAACCAGTTGTTTTCACAGACTTGTACAATCTTGCAGTAGTAGACTTCATCACATTACTTTAATCTCCTATAAAAGTTCTGCAGAATTACTAACTGATTCCTAAAGATATTGGAGAAAGTTTTCAACTTTTATTTATCTCCATTATTCAAAATGACTGTTTGTGCTATTTCCCACAGATAACATTTTCTCTCAGCAGCACAGAAGTCTTACTTACTTACTTACTTCTCACGATTTATGTCTGTTCCAAGAAAAGTTGTTTTATTCCACCCAGATTTCTGCAACTCTTTTTGGAGTAGTTAGCCAACTCCATCTTGCCACTTTTTGTCAGAGTCTGTTCTGCACATCTCCTCTGGAGCAAGGAAAGAGTTATTTTCTAATCTCTTGTAATTTTAATTTCATGTTCTTCACTTTTGTTGTGATAGTCAAATTAACGTGTATATCTATAATGGAATTCTTATTCATCCTTCTAGTGCCTTCATTTAGGATTATCTGTGAACAAAACAGACAGGAACTACAGCAATACTTTTGCACTTTTGGGCTGTAGTTTCAGGTTGCATTTCATACTGAATCTAGGGAATCTTGGGAATTTCAGTCAGATTGTGTGTTATTTTTAGCTTTTCCAATTATTTTTGAAAAATAAGTGTTTTGTAGAATTCTTTCGAAGTACGGTAACTTCAAACGTGACCCCTTATCTGCATTGTATTGCCACTCTACTTTCCACTGGGATGTCCCTCCAATGTCGAAGTTAATTGAGTTCTCACAGTGCATAATCTGTCTCAGGTATCAGGCAATGAATTTACTGAAACAGTTTAATTGCCTTTTTCACTCTCACTACCATCAATGATCTGCTTTTCTAAATTATTCATGTGAAAGATAAAACTCCAACCCAGTCCAAGAACACGTGCCCTTTACAGCTGTAGTGAAACTGTAAATCATTGGGTGGAATCTTATAGGGGCCTGGCAACACAGGCTGTGGGAAGCTTTGTGGCAAAATCAGATTAGTCCAACAAAATTTATCTCAATATCAGAAGAAATCTGTATCTTTTCTGCATTTTCCAAGTGATGAGGCATGTTTCTCACTGGGTAGGAGTGACTTGCCAATTAAGGGGGATTATAGCTTGTTAAATGCCTAATTACAGCCAATTTATTTAGCTTCCCATTTTACCAAACGTTCCAAGCCTGAAACCTCAACGTGGAAGTCAGAGCGGGTACCTAGCAAATTAATTTCACTGCTGGCTTGCTCAACACCATCAGCATTTCTAAGCATAATTCCTAAGCATAATCCATAAGCACTATCCACAAATGCATCCGTCAACAGACATTGGCAGCTGACGTTTGCCAACCCTTCATGACAATCATGGTATCTATCCTTCCAATCCACTTCAGGCCACATTGGAAATGGAGACTTACATTACACGGTGAATGACAACTAATGTTGAAAGGCTGCTGCAAGGACACTTTGTGTACAGGGACAGGCACCGAACTCACTGAAGTAGACTACATCATAGGTATTTTCTGACGAAGGGTCCCGACCCGATACGTCAGCTTTCCTGCTCCTCTGATGCTGCCTGGCCTGCTGTACTCCTCCAGCTCCATACTTTGTTAGCTCTGACTCCAGCATCTGCAGTTCTTGCTATCTCTACATCTTAGGTATGCTTGCCTACTTGCTTAGTACTCACCCGGATGCTCAAAGCATCCCTGCAATGCTTTCCTTGCCAATTAGCGCAGTCACAACAGGTAGCTTACCCCTGTAAAGTCTTCATATCATTTCTAAAACGTAGTGCCCTCCGAATTGAACACAGCCCACTTGAGCTGATGTCTGGCCTAAGTTGTGGAAAGTATGGCATAATTTCCTTTATTTTTGCATTTTTTATACTTGTTTATTTAACTGTTTTACTCTTTGATTTCTTTTTCTTTGCGATTAGAAGAGAAAGTGGTTAGTTCTGAAATCCTGAGCACTTGGGCTGGATGCATCGCGAGGAAATGATAAATTTTTGTTTCCATAATAAAAATAAAGGTTCCATAGTAAAAATAAAATAAATAAAGTTGCTGGATTGTGACATCACTTCTAAAGTTTCTTTCAACTCCCGTGATCTATTGTGCGGTGTAGATTTGGAAAAACTTGCTTTGGGGGCAATTTCAGTCAGACATTTAAAAAGCAGAATGTATCTCCATACTGTATTATCAGGACATACCAGATGCTGCCACTAGGTGGACCAAATGAGAGATTTATTTCTGTACATTGTTGAGAACACAATCACTTGTGTTGTGATTCAAAAGAAAACCATGGTTGCAACCAAGATGGAAAAATGTAAAATTAACTGGGTTTATATACTTCAAGATCCATGAGGTTGTTCAAATATATTTTTTTCCAGTGTAATAGTTCTACATCATGCTTAACTGTCTCTAGAATACTAATCATGGTCCCAAAAATTGTTTTTCAAAATGTTGTGTGTCTACTTATGGCTTAGCCACTGCTAATTAACAATATCAGTTCTAATATACTAATTAATAGTTTTCACTTTCTTCTAAGTTATTAATCAAATCTAAGTTTGGGGTAACAGTAAATCTGTAATTCCCAAATAACTCTTGTTTGTGTCCTGGCCAACACTGTCCCTCCAATGTAATTATTCAATTAATGTTGTAGAACCTTGCATGTAATGTGGTTGCCGTGTCACCTAATTACAGCAGTGCCTATGCTGAACAAGTACGTGGTTGATTGTAGAATGCTTTGAGAATTCTCTCATTGGGGTTCTTCCTCTCATGCGCTCGCTTGTGTTCTCAAGTGACGTGGAAGAAGCCTGCTGTCTGTGCAGCTCCCTACATGATTATTTAGCTGTTGTGTCAGCTGTTCTGTATCTCGAGGTTGTAGACTTGCTGGCCGAGCTGGTGTGTTTGGTTGCAGATGCTTCATCACCCTGCTAAGTAATATCGTCGGTGCGCCTCCGGTGAAGCGTTGCTGTTCTTTCCTGCTTGTTATTTATATACCTCGGTTTGCTGGGGTGGTTGGCATCACTTCGGGTTCTGTTTCCAGTGGTTTATATATCGGGTCCAGTTCAATGTGCTTGTTAATGGAATGCCAGGCCTCCAGGAATTCCCTGGCATGTCTCTGTTTGGGTCGTGCTGTTATGGATGTGTTGTCCCAGTTGAATTTGTGTCCTTTGTCCGTGTGTATTGAGACCAGTGAGAATTGGTCGTGCCTCTTGGTGGCTGGTTGGTGTTCGTGTATCCTTATTGTCAGTTTTCTTCTAGTTTAGCCTATGTAGTATTTCTCAGTCCTTACAAAATACCATGCACATTACATTAGTTTTATTGGTTGTGGGTATGGGATCCTTTACGTTCGTCAGTAGCTGTTGCAGGGTGGTTGTTGGTTTGTGGGCTACCCTGATACCTAGGGGTCTGAGTAGTCTTGTGATCATCTCTGATATGTTGCTGATGTATGGTAGGTTGACTAGTGTATCTGACCATGTGTCGTCTTGTTGTGATCTGTCACAGAGGTAACAGCAGATTGTGCTTTATGGGTATCCATTCCTTTTAAAAACTCCATATAAGTGCTCCTGTTCTGCTTTGCTTAATCCCGATTGCTGCAGTGTGATGTGGCCCATTTTAATAATGTCCTGATGCAGCTCTATTTATGGGTATTGGGGTGGTTGCTGGAGTAATTAAGTATCTGGTCCATATGTGTGGTCTTTCTATATACACTAATCTGGAGTTCCCCACTGTTCTTATGTTCTATCATTCTCTGTCTGTCTCTTTTTATTTGTTCCTATTTTGCAGTCTTCCACCCCGATGTCTACACCTAAGTCTTTTCCCGTTGTGAAGACCGACACAAAGTATTGAGGATTGGGTCCACCGTAGATTACCTCCAAGATCCATGGTGGGCCCGACTCTCTCCCTAGTTATTCTAATGCTGTTTATATATTTTTAAAAATTGTATTGGGATTTCATTTTTTCCTCTTGCCAATACTTTATTTTGCATTCTGTTTGCTTTTCTACTATCCTTTTTAAGATCTCTCGACACTTTTTGTATTTTTTCATATTCTACCGTATTGAACCTTCTGTATCTGCTCTAAGCTTCACTTTTTTTCTGTCTTAAAACTAACATTTATGACTCTTGACATCCAGGATTCTCTAGATTTGGTCCCAAACTTTGTCTTTATTTGTATTGTACTCTCACTATTGTTAGAGGCCTCACTGTTTTTTTTTATTTTATTCTTTTAACAATTTTTGGTTCGGAGCTGTGGACTGGGAATTGTGAGCTAAAGGTGATTTTTGGACTATGGGTAATAGCTTGTGCTAAAAGGAGCGCAGAACAAATAAGTTTATATTTATTCATGAAGTTAGGTCAAGGGTTGATTGCAGGTTGGTTTCTAATCAGGAGGTTTTGTCACCAGGGAAGAGCATTATGTTTAAACAGAGCAGAATTAAGGAGTACTGTACCTGGGAATTGGTTCAGCGAGTCTGGAAAAAACCTTATTCTCAAGCAAATGGCAGATGTTGAATGGTAACTCATGCTCGAGACAGTCAGTCTAGCAGAGAGTGGTCAGAGTTTGAATTGGGCTTTGGACTGCATTTTTGGTGACAAGGAATCTGTGATCAGTTATTAGAAGCTCAGAGAATTAAAAAACTGTTTTGTAAATATTATTGTCTTTATCTGAGTGAACTGTGAAAGTGATCCTGATCGACATCTTCAGAAAATTAACCAAGAAATTGTCATCTATACCTGTTGAACAACGCAGTGTAATACCACTTAAATAATGTGGACACCTTTCTTGTTTTGTTTCATTTATTGCTTAAATGCATTTGTTTATCTTTTGTTTAAGTGGGAATAAAAGCAAAGGTTTTTAGGCTTAAATTTTTTAATTTTGCTTTCCTGAAGGTACTATATTGTCAATAAATTGTAAAGTGTTTTGTTTAAGATACAAACCGTTTCTGGAATTGATTATTCACAGGGTCTACGATTGGTTATTTAAAAAGTCTGGTTAAGAACCATTGAGATCAGTTTTGAGGGCCTTTGAAGGTTGTAATTTTCCTGCGTTGCGAATACAGAGGTAGAAAGATTGATTTTGTTTGGCTGTCTGGCTCAGTGTCATACGTTATTTTGTCTTTAAATGCCTGCCACTGACACCATTTTATTTGCAGTAGCTGTTCCGAGTCCAGTTTAGCTAAATCATATCTAGGTAAAATTAGCCCAGATTAGAACATTTAGTCCTGAACTATCCTTATCCCCTTTCATAACCACCCTCAACCTAACTATCCTAAATCTCCAAAATGCTCCCATGTATTGTTTTTTCATTCATTCACAGGATTAGTGTGTTGCTGGCCAGGCCAGTATTTAATGCCCACCCCTAATTGCCCAGAGGACAGTTAGGAGCCAGCCACATTGCTGTGGGTCTGGAGTCATGTGTATGCCAAACCAGGTAAGGGCAGTAGTTTCCTTCCCTAAAGTACATTAGGGAACTAGGTGGGATTTTCCAATAGTTAACAGTGGTTTTCATGGTCATCATTTGACTTTTAATTCCATATTTTCATTGAATTCAAATTCCACCATTTGCGATGGCAGAATTCAACCCAGACCCCAGAACATTACCTGGGTGTCTGGATTAATAGGCTAATGGTAATATTATTTTTTACTACCTTATTATTCTTGCACTTCTGTAAAATTTGGTCTTATTTGATTGTCTATCATCCCCCGACTGACAGACCATTGCACTATTCAAATTGCTAACACACAAATTGGGGTCTGTTGAGTTGGTTGACTCTGGGATCAGTCATGACTAGTGTAACCATCAGCTGGGATCATAGCAATGACCATCTCAAACCAGGGGACCATCCCCTTTCTTGTCAGTTTACACATTTGAAAAATTATAAAGAAGTTGGTATTACTGCGTCTGTGAACATCTGACTGGCTGACTTGATAGGCATCCTGCAAGGGCATTACAGTTATCTTTATTGAGGTAATAACTTCACATTGGTTCTGAATGTCATGTCCCCATTTTTGAAGTGCTCTGTAAATGGATTTGATGTGAGTGACATAGTTTGGTCAGTATTGTTCAGGAATGGTCATAAAGAGAATTCAAATTATTAAGAACTGTCAGTTGCGGGGGTTTCTAGCACACCGTACTTCATGAAAGTTGATTTGAATAATTACTGTACAAAATTAGGCTCCTCAGTCAACCAAAATCACAGTTCCAAACTATGTGTCACCTTGCAAATGTCTCATTTACAAGTCTTACATTCCCACAGTGAAGATCCATGCCAACAGCTAAATGTCATAACTAAACGTAAAGTGGATGATATTACTATTGTTAAATATATAGGACAGGTTATTCACTGGAGATCTTGCCAATGTCAGGATCAGGACACGAAGGGGAGTAACGAGCTGAAATCTTTGGGTTCCAAGCTCTAAGCTAGTTAAATGACCCCAACACCCTGCTGTCATAATCCTTCTCTTCCTCCATGTCCTCACCATGTTCGTAATAATTTTTGAGATTTAGAATGGGATTACCGTGGGGGAAAAAGTTGAAACACTGATTTAATGTGTGTAACATGCTTGAAGTTAGGTTGCAATAGTTGTTGAGACCTCAGGATTTGTCTGCATTTGCAATCACGTAGACATGTGTGTATGACTGTAACTCTGTGACCTGTAAACTGAGTTTAAAAGATTGTGGAATTTTGAACAAATATGGGTTTTACACATAATAACACATTCAATTCTCCTCAATCTCTTGCATCTTTTGCTCAGAGATTCATATCACGCATCTGGCCACACCCATGATTCTCAAATGTGAGTATAATCCCCATATTATTGGCAGTGGTAATCTGTCAGTGTTACAACTAGATTATCAGGTACAGTAGGCAACTGGATCACTTTTCTGACTTTTTAATTTCAACTTTTAAAATATTTTAAAAGATAATATAACTTTATTGTGACATGCTCTGAATTTCCTGATTCAATTTTATACCATTATTTTATACCATTAATTATGTCATCATTAATATTTCAAAACTTCCACAATTACAAATTCTTAAACATGCCATTTGATAATTAACTGAGTTAGTGCCCCAAGAAGGAATATATTGGCGTGCATTTAACATTCACCTTAAGACTCATTTGTTTACTCTGATATCTGCCCATTTATATCTCATTTATGTTAAAACATGTTCCAGTGAAATTGAGCAGATCTTTGGGTGTAACTTGGTATGGGCAGAATTGGGTGCATTTTCAGATCTCACATCTGACCTTATGTCAAGGCAGTCACTCCAGGCTGGTGTATCCTCGACGCAATATTGAACTTGTAAAAGTCTTGTTTGTTGTGGATGATTTCACATGGAACAAAGAAAACTTTATGAAAGGGTTAAACAGCATAGAAACTGCAGCTCCCTCTAATCTCTCCAGGTCAAACAAGATTTTTTCATGCTTTATATTCAAACTAATCTCATGCAAATTAAAGCAGCAATCATTATAATACATTTCTGGTGATTCTATCAACTTTAAGAAATTTTATTTGCTGTACTACAATAATATTTTAAACACCAATTTTGACGCTGCTTTTGGTATAGGCAGCATCTAATGACCTTCCATGTCGACATATCTACCTTCTTACACTTTCATCAAGCACTGAATAGAAACTGAGTTATCAAAAATATGGCCCCACTAATAATCAAACAAGATATCACTAAGCAAATTTTTATTTAATGCTGCAGCCAGGAAGAAATATCCACATCGTCATCGATTGCAGGCTTTGTGCATGAAAACACGTTAATTTTACTGCAGTATTCCATGTAATGAATTCAATAGATTTAAAGGAGGAATGCATAGAACCTTGTTAACTGAACAAGAGAGCATCTGTTGTGATCAACAGATCATAAAATGAATTGCATATTATATTATATTATATTATATTATATTATATTATATTTCAGAAAATGGTTTTCTGAAGAAGGGTCTAGACCGGAAACGTCAGATTTCCTGCTCCTCTGATGCTGCTTGGCCTGCTGTGTTCATCCAGCTCTACACCTTGTTATCTCCCATTCAGATTTTGGTAGTGGTTTGGGCACTTTAAACAAAGTTGATTATTTCTGTAATGAAAGCAAAGTAATGCAGATGGTAGAGATCCAAAATGGAAACAAAACGCTGGAGAAACTCAGGTCTGTCAGCTTCTGTGGTGAGACCAAGAAAATGCTTTAAGTCAAGTCCAGTATGACTCTTCCGAACACATTTGATCATCTCTAATTTGAGACAATTGCTCTTCTTCATTGTGAACTTCATTTGGAATTGTATGTTCTTGGTAAATTTAAGCCATGTTAAATTTCTAATACTGAACTAGAATTGTCAAATTATTGAAAGACATTATACTTAATTATGTTTCTCAAAGAGCTCTTGTTGATTGACAGTGCTACATGGGGCCGAGCCCCTACCGTTTTACACTGCAGCCCACGCAATGAATTGGTGTTTGCAATGTGCACAAGGAGTGGCATACCTACATGGCATGAAACCCAAGGCTTTAATCCACAGGGACCTGAAACCACCAAAGTAAGTGATTTGTTAATAACATTGTTATTGAGTGTAACATACCAATTATTTATGTAAGATGAAAAATAATAGAATTTGAAACTGGGACTGAGGCTAATTAGATCGAGCTTAACTCTGTATCTAGCTGATTATATGCTTTTGTGGTAGTACTTAACATTAACATGAAAACCCCAATATGGAAATTTTTACGTTCTCTGTGCAAGAAAAGGATTGTTGAAGCTGTGGCCGAACAGCCATAGTGCTGTGTGACATTTGCAAAATCACCAACTAACCAAAGTTAGCACCTTGCCTCCTTTCCCCGGCCAATTCATCAATCTATATCCTCTTGACCTTTATGCTAACCAAATGTCATTTCATCCCATTTGCTGACAACTGAAAGGCTCCTCCACCAATACAGTGTGCACTGAAGCACTGTGAAAGTCAGCTGAAAAAATCATGTATTTTTCAAAATGGAAGCTTGAGAATTTCTTCAAAATTTGGCCCTTGTCTTGGCTCGTTCTGAGCAGCCAGGTGGCACTTCTGTCATCTGCTCTTGTAGGCATTTTTCGAGCACCGCTCTGTCTTGCCTCTCATGGCATTAAAGTCCTCGATGCTTGACATAAATACCACTTCTTCATGTGGTGCCACTACTCTCAACCAGTGCTTGGTTACCTCAAAACCTGGCAATTCTAATGCATTTTGATCTGGCCTCCTACATTCTAACTTTTGAGAACATCCAAAGGCCTGATACCTATGCCCCATCTTGAATAAGTCCTGTTAATCATGTCAACTTGCAGTTAAGCAATGCATTGATTATTTTTCAACTGCCTCAATGGCCTTGCTTCTTTGTAGTTCTAATCTCCTTCATCTTACAAGCCCATCAAATATTTTCACTCCTCCAATTCTAGCCTAATGAGCATCCTTAATGTTAATTGATCCACTACTGGTGACCATGACATCAGTTGCCAAGACCATAAGCTCTGGAATCTTCTGCCTTCCAGCACACTGTTTCTTTTTTTAAATTGCATCTGTCTTTTTGGCCAAGCTTTTGATCTTCTGGTCTAATACCTCTGATCTGTCAAAATTTGTTTTATAATGCTGGTGCACTTTGGAATATTTATTACATTTAAAGGGCTTGGTGATTTCAGTCTCCATCTCACCTGTTTTCTCCTTTCATTTTGTTTTTTCTTTACTGTATCTTTCCATTTAACCCGCTAAACACATTCATGACTACACCCTGTCACATCACCTCTCTACTTCCATGGTTTCAATCACAGATGAGACCATCTCTTATTATTTCCTTGACCTCCATTTCCTTGCATCCCATTCCCTTGTACCTCGCACAATCAAATTCCCAGCTGCCTGGCCTTTAACAAACATTTTGTCTTGAAGTAAACAGAGTAAATTCTAGAAGCACTCAGCAGGTTTGACAGTATCTGTGACAAAAGAAACTGAGCACGTGTTTCAGATGGATAACCTTGTGGCAGACTCCTCACAATGGTGGAACTATCAATTTGTTCAACTATGCCATTCCTAACATCCTGGCCACCATTAATTTTATCCCATTCCTTTAACGTTCACAAATGTAATCCCAATCTTTACCCCTAAAGTCTGAATATTTACAGACCTCACCTGATGCACAACTGGTTTATCCAGCTCTCTAGGTCCCATTGGACCACATCAGGTGCAGTTGCACCCTGTTCTCCTATACCAATCCTGCATACTAATCCACATTCATCTCAAAGAGCAAAGATAAAGCCCTTGCTACCCCTCTCCATAAGCAACTATTGCTTTAAGCCTTTGACCTTCTGGCATTCTTGCTCCAAACACTCAACTGCTTTGCCATTTCTGATTTCCATCTTCACCAGCAAATAAACCTCGCCCTACTTCCTTAAGTTAGATCTTATTCTATGTCTTTCTCTAGTTTCCTGCTTATCTCCCCCCATTCCATCTCTTGAGTTAATTTTGTCCCACGAGTCTACTGGTAATGGAAATGGTCCCCTGTTCTCTTGTACTGCCTCCATTCATTTCAAAACCTTTGTCATCAGCCCTGTTTTCAAAGCAAAAAAGATCCTTGCAAAGATCTGCATCCCTTTCTCCCACCTGGCTTTTTCTTTTCAAGTTCTTGAACGTTTTCCTTCTCAGGGTTGGTCTCACACACTAGCACATACTCACAGCCATTTACTGGATGTTGAGTGAAAGAAATAAAATGAAACCTGAAAGTTCAATCATTACCGTAAAAAAGGGAATAAGGATTGGTTGGAGAGAATGGTTGTTAGGTGGTTAATGGAAACACGTTAGGTCTTGAAATTGGAACAGGGAATAGGATAAAAGATGAAGAGAATACTTGATTTAGTATGGATGAGATTGTAAACTACTTCATTCCAAATGTGTTGTCATTTTATGAAGTGTAAATTATTCTAGGAAGTGCATTGGGCAAATCCAAAATGATGAGCTGGGATTAGAGTTCCCCCAGCAATGATAAAGTTAGGGCAGAAATGCAGTGTTGAAGTTGGTTAAAGTTAGGTCTTGGCAATGTAAAAGACGGAAGTGCATAATTTGTTATCTGGGATTACCTATAAACTTCTTTGGAATGTGTTATTTTAATTCACTTGAACACTTTTAGGGAGAAATTCATTTCCCACTGCACATTTAGTTAGTTAACCTGACAACACTCTTACCTCAGAAAGAAAGCATTGAGATCACCTGTTACTTTCTAGGATATAAGTATGTAATCAAAATTGATACTCCAATGTGCTAATGAAGGATTGCTGCGTTGTTCAAGGAGATATCCTTCCAGTTGGAATTTAAATATCTGCCTGTTCTGATACTTCAATAGGAAATAATGATTCCATTGTAATGAGGAAGAAGAATAGACCGTTGTGTTGATCAAAAACAGTTGAGCTAAGCATTCGTCAGACTTTTGTTTAATAGGATTTTGCGGTGTACAATATCACTTGTTGCTACATTTGCCAATGTAACTATGACTTGGTTTTGGTGTGACTTCATAGAAACGCTATAGTGGAGAAAGAGGCCATTTGGCCCATCAAGTCTGCACCAACCTTCAGAACAGCATCCCACCTAGACCCAGATCCCCCACCCATACCCGTAACCACACATGCACCATGGCTAACCCATATAGCCTGCACATCCCTGGACACTACAGGGCAATTTAGCATGGCCAATCCACCTAACCTGCACGTCATTGGACTGTGGGAGGAAACCTGGAGGAAACCCATGCAGACACAAGGACAACATACAAACTCCACACAGACAATCACCAACAGCTAGAATTGAAACCAAATCCCTGGTGCTGTGAGGCAGCAGTGCTAACCACTGAGCCACAATGCCGCCCATTTATTATACATGAATTCTTTTGAGACCTTCAATAAAGCATTGTCTTTTTAATGGTTATTGTTTCGCAAAATATACTTTTTTTCTTTTTGTGATCTTGAATAATCAAAAACATGTTGTGAATCCCAGAATATGGATTTGCTGATATTTCCAGTCCTGTGTTTTCCTATGACAGCTTACTGCTGGTTGCTGGTGGGACAGTTCTGAAAATCTGTGATTTTGGCACAGCGTGTGATATTCAAACTCACATGACGAACAACAAAGGAAGTGCTGCTTGGATGGCCCCAGAGGTTTTTGAAGGTGAGGGACTGACATTGAAATTTGTTCAGACTTAATGGTCCAATAGCTAAAGGTATCAGTGCTCGTTTAAACCAAAAGAACCAAAGATGCCAGTGTTCATCCTTGGGCTTTGCTGAGTTAACTGGTTTCAACAAAGGCAGTGAAATTGCCCTCAGGTTCCCAGGTAGGCAGATAGGAATGAATTGGATTTTCCACCACTGGCAGGATCCAGTGACTCCAGCAAAGAAAGCATCCATAAATGAATATTACACTGTTTGGCTACAAGAATACATACGTACATACATCCACGCATGCCAGCTACTCGATTCAATTCTAATGTAGGCAAATTCAGTATTCGGCCTGATGTTGGATCCTCCACAAACTGGTTTTAGCCTGGGTCAACAATAAATTCTGCAGACAGAACTATGTTGCTGCAGTCTGAATTTAATTGGGACAGAATAATGTGGAACATGAACAATTCAGTTAATTTAATTGATTTGTTGAGAGAGCATTTATCTTTTATCAAAGGTTTAATTAGAAAATTTGGAAACAGTCATTAATGCATAGAATTAACATTAAAAGTGGAGTCGGAAGATATTCTGACTGTGAGGTCTTTCTGTTTATCTCTCGATCTAGTTAGGTTCTTGGCTCCAAAAATTGCAGTGTCACTTTAGTACCTTTTCAACGTGGAAATCTCCTGACACTGATGCTGGACTAATCATGTAAATAAGTGCTAATTCTGTTGATTATGCATAAATCCACACTTAAGAAGACAGTACTGAATCCTGACCCAATTTCTTTGACTGGACTTGAGCCCTGATACTGGCAATAGCGAACAGATGGATAATTTTTCAATTTACTGACAGTAACAGCCCACATCTGATTCAGCAGAGAAAGTCTTTTTAGAAAATTGTTTTTCAAGTTTGAAATTCAAACTAAAACTGAGTCAATTGTGCAGAGTTCATAGGTTCAGGACTTTTACAATGTTTTGGTAGTGCTAAAGTGCTCTTTATCTATAAATTAATGGATCTTTAAACTTGAGGTAATGTTTAATTTAATCTGGTTCTATTGTACTGTCACACTAACTTGTTGAATTTCTGTCACAGGTAGTAATTATAGTGAAAAGTGCGATGTCTTCAGCTGGGGTATCATCCTTTGGGAAGTAATAACTCGGCGAAAACCTTTTGATGAAATTGGTGGCCCCGCTTTTCGCATCATGTGGGCTGTTCATAATGGTAAAATTGTCTTTTTTAATTGGCATTAATATTCATTATTTTGAGTTTGGAATCCTTATCCACTCTGATAGTAACTGGTATTCTTGGATCTATTATTGGGAAATTATAGAATGAATTTAAACTAATTAAATTTCATTTAATTGTTTTGAATTTAGGAAGATAGTTCACTGCCTAACTTATGTTTGTATAGCGTTTATCGTGATCTCAGCATACTCCAAAATCCATCAAAGCCAATGAAGTACTTCTGAATTGTCACCTCTGTTGTAATGTGGGAAACCAATCGGCCAAGTTGTACACATCAAGGTCCCACAGCAGCAGTCAGGAAAATGACTAGATACTGTATTTTTAGTGATGTTGTTTGAGAGAGATTTGTCATGACACCGGAGGGCACTCCTCTAATCTTTATCAACAAAAAAATTGTTGGATCTTTTACATCCGTCTGAAAGGCCGGATGGGACCTCCGTTCAAAGTTCTATGTGAAGGTGGACTTTACTAGTAATGTGGCACTCCCTCAACTGCACTGAAATGTCAACCTAGATTCTTTGCTCCGGTCCATGGAGTGAGACTTGATCCCATAACCTTATGACTCTGAGCTAATACTGTTAATCTGTGAGCCAAGACTGACACTTTCTTCTTTTATTGTAACTTTTTACAATGGATACAACAGGTTTTTTGAGGCATGGGCACTTAATTTTGCAAGGCAGGGAGGAAATGTGCCATGCCAAGTCCATATTGCCAGTCACCAAAGTACATGCATCCTAAAATGGCATGACATACTCCCTTTGTGCAGGTAATGTACAATTAAAGTTTGAATCTGTTTTGGGATTCCAGTATTTTTGCAGTTCTACCAGATAGAATAAAAACTAAAAGAACTGCAGATGCTGTAAATCAGAAACAAAAACAGAAAATGGAAAAGCTCAGCACGTCTGGCAGCACCTGTGAAGAGAAATCTGTTAACATTTCAGGTCTTGTGACCCTTCCTCAGAACTGATGGTAGCTAGGAAAATGTTGGTTTTTATGCAGACGACAGAGGGAGGCAGTGGGTAAGGAGTAAACGATAGGTGGGGATAGAGCTCAAAGAGAGAGAACAGTTGGACAGACAAAAGTGTGGATAACGATCTAGCTAGGAGGGTGACTAGCTGTTAATGGGGACTGTTAGTGGCTGACATTGGGTTGTGTGTAATAACAGACTGTGATCCCTAGGCCTGGTGTGTGGGATAGGACCTGGGATATAGGAGAGTTCAAGCTCTAACATTATTGAACTCGATGTTGAGTCCTGAAGGCTGTGGGGTCCCCAAGTGGAAAATGAGGTGGTGTTCTTCTAGCTTGCACTATGCTTCATTGGAGCACTGCAGCAAGCCTGAGACAGATATTGGCCAGGGAACAGAGTGGTGTGTTGAAGTGGCAGGCAACTGGAAGCTCGGGCATTTTCGAGAGCAGAACGTAGGCGTTCTGTGAAGCGGTTGCCCAGTCTACACTTCATCTCCTCTACATTGGGGAAACCACATTGTGAGCAGTGAATACAGTAGACTAGATTGTGTGAAGTGCAGGTAAGGCACTGCTTCACCTGGAAGGTATGTTTGGACCCTTGGATACTAAGGAGGGAGGAAGTATCTAGGCAAGTGTTACACCTTCAGTGATTGCAGAAGCCTTGCTTCAGCTCTGTTACTATGCGGCATTTATGAAACATTTTAAATCTTTGCCCTGATAATGACTGAATAAGAATTCACTTTAAAATCATAAGAAAAGGATTTTGCTGTTAGCATTTCCTATCCAGGCCCTTTTTATATATTTTTATCCATTCATGTTGTTTATCTGACAAAGATAGATAATTTTTTATGAATGAATGAAAGGCTCACAAATTTCTATCAAGATTGGAATCAAGTATTATCAAATTTAATTTTGATGTGCTTCATCAAATTTACTAGTTGCTAATGCGATCTCTAGGAGTCTGAACTTGTTTCCAAAGCTCAATTTCCTTTGAGAAAAGGAATGCAAAAACCTTTTATGCCCCTCTATCACTACAGAGCTTTCAGAACTGTGATACTCTAGCTCAACTGTTATCCATCGTTTTCCCACAGAAAATCTCAATGCAGATCTGGAGTTTAGGAGAGAATCTGAGGCATGTACCGACATACTACACTTGCCACTTCCAGTGTAGTCAGTTACATTGTGGTACCAGCATTGATTTGAAAGCAAATTATTTCCCTGAATTCTCAGCTGTTAATGACATTTTTAAAAGTGGTCAAACAAAAGATAAAATATTAGTTTAATAGTGTCTTCATACTTGCTCAGTGCAAGTTTTGGTACACATTTTATACACTTGAAGTTTTGAATTACAATAACTTTATATTCCTATTCGTTTGATCAGAAGTTCAACTCCTTAATGATGTATTTGCACGACAGCTGGCATTTAGAGGTAGAAAACTCATTCTATTTTGTTCCGGACTTGGGCCAAGGCTCTGATGTACGTGACAATTGCTTATTATCATTGTGAGACTAAACTGCTTTGCACCAAAAACTGCAGTTGTAACAATTATATCTAAAGACCATAACGTTGTATTCTACTTGGACAAAAAAATTAAATGTGATTAGGCATCAAAATCAATTGCACATTGCTTGCTGAACATGTTGGTGGGTGGAATAGCTTACTCTGGTTCTAAGTTCATTTGTGACCAACTGAAATTTTGAGATATGATTACAAAATGTACTACAAGTTATATTTAAGCAGTTCTGTAGTAGTTAATGGTATATTTGAAAGCAAGATGATTGCTTTTATCAAAAAATTGCTTCCAGCATATTATGTAAATATGCTCCTGCATTTGTATTTCATTGACAGAAATTTGCATTGCAGGTTCATTGCAATAGAAATATGCTGACTTGTTTAGCGAAAGATCGCAGTCAAAATCTTTTGAATGGAGAAAGAAATCTTAAGGAAAAATATGTTTTGTAAAATCCGATACGTAGAACCAAACTAATTGTGTGAAGCACCACTTCCATTAAAAGTTGTAATTAAAACAAAAAGAGTGATTGATAATCATTTATTCAGTTTTTATTAAAGGCAGTCTATTTATTTGGAGTGTTTCATTACTGGGAGGACTTTGTCAAAGCATCAGCATATTTATCAAAAATGAGAAACATTCAGTTGCATGTAGTTTTAAGTTCTTCGACAAAAATGTTTTAATTTATTGTGGAAGGGGGAGGAAAAAGGTTGCTTAAAGATCAGTATTTTATTGATAAGTCTGACTTGATTTTAAAATAACTTAACTGTATAACTACTTAATTATGCCAAATTCAGCTTTGTTTTGTGAATGTGGAACTTGCTACCAGATGTTGTGGTTTAAACAAATAACACATCTGTATTGAAGGGGAATCTTGAATATGTACATGAGAGAGATGGAATAAAAGGATGCATTTATGTGCAAAGAAAAGTAGACTCAGAGGATGCATCTGTGAAGCATAAACAACCAAATCTGGGGAAGTTCTCCTAACTCTTCTATTCATTCCTTTCTTTCCTCACCTAATTACCCATGAAAAATGTTGAACTTCTGAATTGAGAAGATGGAATGAGGCATAATTTCTTAAATCATTATTCATTGGAAGTAATACTTTGATCCTGGGATAGAATTGTAAAATTGATCGAATAATAAAATGTGCCTGAAGTTCATTAGGATTTTTCAGATTTGCTCCATCCATGTTGTTTTAGGTACTCGACCACCTCTAATCAAAAATCTGCCTAAACCTATTGAGAGTCTAATGACTCGCTGTTGGTCGAAAGATCCTGCACAACGCCCCTCAATGGAAGAGATAGTAAGAATAATGACTCATTTAATGAAGGTAAGTCTCTACTTAATGTTTAGTGTTGATGAGATTCCAATAACATTATTCAAGCATACCTGATGGTATACTTCTGTACTTAATTGCAGTATTGTTATTAATAAATGAGGTCGTTCATTAAAGAGCAAAGGAATAGGAGTTCTAAATGTTTGGATAAGAAATATACTCACTTAGGAGTGAAGTGTGAATACATAATCTTCAGAGTAATTTAAGTTGCCACCAACTGACCTAAATTATTCTGCTATTTTAAGAAAAGATGGTTGAGTGGTGGCACACTTCAGCCTCCAGATGAAAATTGAAATTTCCTTTATATTTTTCACAAACTTGACCCTGATGTCATCAGGACCAAAGCATCTGTGATCATATATATCACAGCCCTTGTCTTTCTGAATCCTTGTGTATAAATACTGTTCTGTGTATCAATGTATTGATTGTGGTAGACTTGTGATCATATCGCCCAAATCAGCAGCCTGCTTTTGATTTTTTTTGTGTTCAGTATTTTCCAGGAGCTGAAGAACCTCTTCAATACCCATGCCACTACTCTGATGTGAGCCAAAGTAACTCTGCTACAAGCACAGGTATGAAACAACAATACCTTAATAATCTGAAAGAGCAAGGCAAGAGAAGTTTCTTTAAATATTTGTCAAAAGGAGATTCAACTGCAAGAATTAAGAAGTTACCAACATTGAAGAAATGCTATATGTGATAGAGATTCATTACCATCAATCATCCTCTGTAATGTAAAGACCTGATGGTATTTTCATAGATCTCATGGGCTGATATAGTTGAGTCTTTCAAAAGATTAAATCATAGGGTCAGATCGTTCCCTTTTAATAGTGGAGTTTGTAGGTTTGTGTCCTACCTTGATCCTTGGATCCTAGTCTATGAGCTGTAGCACCAACTAAAGAAAACAGGAAAGAATATTGCACAAAAATGGCAGCTGTTTGCTTGATCATTGCACCCCAAGCTTGCATCATGAAAAGTAGTTTCACAAAGAGATGTTTTATGAATGGCGGTTAAGAAAGTATTTGGGATATTTGCCTTCATTAGCGAATGCACAGAAGACCAGGGCAGGGAGGTTATGTTGGAACTGTATAGAATGCCTGTTAATGTGTGCAACAATGTATGCAGTTCTGGTGACTGCATTATAAGAAGTGTGTGATTGCACTAGAGAGGGTGCATGCGGGTTTACAAGGATACTGTCTAGAGGGTCTGAGCTATCTGGAAAGATTGGATAAGCTGGGTTGTTGAGTTGGACCTGAGAGAGGTGTATAAAATTATGAAGGGTGTGAATAGGCTGGATAGGAAGGCACTTTTTCCATTAGTAGAGAGGTCATGACCAGGGGACACCAATTTAAGGTAATAGAATGCTAAAAGAAGAAATATTTTCACCTAGGTTGTAGGAATTCGGAATTTGCTGCCTGAAAGGCTGATTGAGTCAGAAACTTTTGGAACATTTACGCAGTATTAAATATTCACTTATATAGCCATTGCTTCAGGGCTACAGACTAAAAACTTGTAAATGGAATTTGTGTAGTCAGATTTTGTTGGCCAGCATGAACATTATGTGGAAATGACCTCCTTCTAAGCTGTTAAATGTCAAAAGTCTGAAATTCTGGTGGCTGCACAACTGATTGATCAAGACAAGAAGCTGAACTGAAAATCTGTGTTCTAGTGCAAGTTCTAGTAACTCTGTCAACAAATAATTAGCCAATATTGGACTTCAACCTAAAACAGCCAGTAATCCCAACGTAGAGGTATTCTACAGACAGTAACAAATGAAGCTTTAAAATTCATTGGTAGAATTTCTGAATTGAAATAAACTTATAAGGCTATCCTGATTCCTGGCATGAGTGCCAAGTTATGTTTTATGAAAGTTGTTGCTGAGTTTGAGTAGCTTTTGTACTTTGAAATATACCTGAACAAGGAGCAAAATATAGACATTTTCTCTGCAGTCTGCTAAACTGGGCAGAATTATTTGATCATTGATTTGGTAGCTAGGGTACAGGTGATTGGGAATACATGTAGTCATGCTTTATTCATAAAATCTACTGATGCTGCATGGAAGGAGGTCTTTTGACCCATTATGTCTATGCTGAACTTATTAAAATACAAGATGTTGTCTTAACATGAGGTATAGTGCAGTGTTTGAACGCTGGTGGCTCTATCACATCTACCTACTAGTAATTACTGAATCTCTGTCGGTTATGGTCTTGCAAATTTAGTGTAAATTTGTTTTCTTGTTGACATCTAGATCATTAATGAGGATTAAGAAATAAATTACATACAAGTTTGTTGGCTATAATGTTAAATGTTCAAAACAACAAGGAGTTGTGTTTCAAACATGGTTTAAATATAACGAAACATCCCAAGATGACTTTACAGGCATTATATTAAATAAATATTGATATCAGTCTCTGTAAGGAAATGTTGGGGCAGATGTCCAATAGCTTGTTCAGAGGTAAACTTTAAGGAGCATTTTAAAGGAGGAAAGCCAGTAGAGAGGCAGCGGACGTTAAGAAGGAACGTTAGGGCTTGGAGTCCCAGCTATTGAAGGCATGGCCATCAAGTTTTCCCAAAAAGCCATAAACAGAGAAACATTGGCTCTCAAACATTGTAGATTTGGAGGAATTTCAAAATAATACTGAGAACTTTAAAACCAGATGTGGTAAATCAAACTTCACTGAATTTGGGACAGGGAAAACAGTTTTGAGTTTTGTCAGTTCTGTGGAGTGTAGAAAGGGGAGACCAACCAGGAGTACGATAGAATAATCAAATCTACATTATTTTATTGGCTTTTTTTTTGTGGTAGATGTATAGTTTATTGAAAATATTTTAAGCAACTTGAAATGGAATAGATGGTGTAGCCATTTCCTTCTGCTGCTTTAATCCTTTGAACTGTCAGTAGAGCATAAAGATAGAATTATACAGCTATGATCATGAATTTCAAAATATAACTAACCACACAAATGTGTTTCAAGGTTTTTGGTATCAAGCAAACAATGTTGAATTTTCTTGAAGTGCAAGAGCTTGAAACTTTTTAATTATGTATTTATAATAATTTTAAAACAACTTGGTACCTTGCTGAATTTTAAGTGCATTTTTAACTACTACATTGTCTGAATATAACTACCAAAGTACAGTTCCCATAGTCCCCGTCAACCATTCCCAATTCACTTAAGTAGTCAGTCTTTGTGCATAAGCATAAAGCTTTGTCACTGGAGACCAATTACAATGCAACCCTGATTCGTTCTCTTTCCTCTTCTTCCCCCACCCCACGTCACTAAATCCACTCTGTTCCCCAAGAAAGGTTGACTGTCACAACCTAATTGCAGAACAAATCTAATTGATTATGCCTAGATCTCTGTAATGTGTTAGACATATTACCACCTAATACAATATGTTCACCCATCATTTTATATAGAAAACTAGATTGAGTTGATTTTAAATAAGGTAAATTTGTAACGGACTCGTACAATCTCATAATATTTAACACATCCTATGCTATAGTTCAAATTAACAAAAAGCTACAATATCATTTAATGAAACACCATTTTGTTTATAAATGTTACTGTTGGAATTCTGATTTGTTTTCCTCATTAACTCAATGTAAGATTTCTGTTAACATCATTCAGTTGTCTGTTTTTATTTAGTTCTACCTCAGCTTAGATTAATTCACTGACCCTTTGAAGAAGTCTGGTTCTCAGCCAATGCATAGGGCATTTTTGGAAAATGCTTTACTGTCATGATTTGTGATCACTGCTTAATTTTGAAAGATTAAATAAATGCTTTGCTTCCTTTTAATCGCTGCTCCCCCATTCACTCCTAAACATGATATTAAATGCTTTTGAGTGATTTTTGTAACTTTGAACTGCTCTGCTGTTGCAAAAAAAGTTCATTTTTCGAATGCTATAAATTGTACTGTTTGTTTGCTAGGATCTTTCTTGGAAATTACCTCTACAAATACCAGTAACAAAAGTGATGCTTGTGTAGAACCTAGTGACTTACATGCAAATGCTACCAATGATACAATTAAGCGTTTGGAATCAAAGCTGGCTCAGCAGCTTAAACTCCAGCCCAAACAGACGGTGAGTAAGTTGCTCTGTTCATGACTTTATTTTACATAAATTGATAAGTACTTGTTTAAAAGAAATTGTTAACCTTAAACAGCATTTTTTTTTTGTACTATGGATAGATACTAAAGCACCAAAGTTTCATTTTTTATTTCTTCCTTGCAGGAATGCTATTTATATAGACATTCTCAGGGAACTTATGTTGAACCGGTTGAAGGTTCTTTGTTAGCTTAGTGAATTAGAAGCATTTTCTAACTTACTGTCAGCATCAAATTGTCACAGGTAGACAGTCAAGCTACCTCAAGACTGTGATACTTTATTTTTGGGTTTCTATATCCTTCATTGTGGTATATATTAGATTACTGCATGAGCAACAAGCCTAATCTTAAGTGTAACAAGGATGAGTTATAAAGAAGGATTAGCAAAATTTAAAATTTATTGGTTGAGATCAATGTAAGAGCATTGAAGAAGACAATAATATCCAACGTATGCAGCAGTAAGGATTCTCCGCAGATGCTAGACTATTTCAAGAAAGTACAGTCATCTTGAGTGATCAGTCGAGTTATTGTGAAATGGATGATTTCAGTCTCCATGTTTTCCAGGAGCATGCTTGATTTTCTTTTGGAGGTGGAGAGAAATTTTCCAGATTTATTTCCTTTCCCTTAATTGATCAAGTTTTGATTTTCTCTTTTTGGCCAGTACCAAGAGATTGCAACAGACAACCAAGTTTCCCATTAGGGGGTTGTTTTGTGGCAGGGAGTGTCAAACTGTCTTGGAACAGAATTATTCATGCATTGTGCAACGTGAGCACACTTGTTGAGATTTTTGTATGCGTAATTGCATCTTTTTTTTAAAAAAGTGAGACATGAGGCCAAAGAAAACACATCTTAAAATAATGTTACTGATCCATGGGAATCAATGGCTAAATAATAACGTTAATGTCTTTTAGAGTCATGGAGTTGTACAGCACGGAAATAGGCCCGTCAGTCCATCTCGTCCATGCTGACCAGATATCCTAAGTTAATCCACTCCCATTAGCCCATATCCCTCTAATGCTTCCTGTTCATGTACCCATCCATATTTTAAATGTTGTAATTGTACCTGCCTCCACCATTTCCTCTGATAGCTCATTCCATACATGCACCACCCTCTGCATGAAAAAGTTGCCCATTAGGTCTCGCAGGGTGACTCGAGTTGAACGCAGCATTCCAAAAGTGGCCTGACCAATGTCCTGGTACAGCTGCAACATGACATTCCAATTCCTATACTGAATGCACAGGTCAATAAAGTCAAATGCCCTCTTCATTGCCCTGTCTACCTGCGACTCCACTTTCAAGGAACTAGGAAGCTGCACCCCAAGGTCTCTTTGTTCAACAACATTCCCCAGGATCCTACCATTTAAGTGTATCAGCCCTGCCCTGATTTGCCTTACCAAAATGCAACACCTCACATTTATCTAAATTAAGCTCTGCCGCTCATCGGCCCATCTAGTCAAGATCCTGTCATATTCTGAGGTAACCTCCTTCACTGTCCACTGCACCACCAATTTTAGTGTCATCTGCAAACTTACTTACCATTCCTCCTATATTCACATCCAAATCATTTAAGTAAATAACAAAAAGCAGTTGGCATGGCACCAATACTTGCAGCACACTGCTAGTCACAGGCCTCCAGTCCAAAAAAACGCTTTTAATAACTTTATTTTTACACTAGCTTTAAATGAAGACAGATAATATTGGAGTACAGAAAATAGTAGATGAGAATCCAGAAAACTGTAGAAGAGTGATTCTCCATAAAAAGACAATCTTTAAACAGAAATTAAATTTAGGTAGCAGTAACAGATGGATCTTTTAAACCGAGAAGCAAAATTCAAATAAAAGTTTGATTGCAGAATATGCTTTATATTTTGCCACAGCAAAAACATGCCAATGAGTCAATACTATTGCTGGTATGAAATTCTATCTGGTTGCCAAGGCCTAATTAGTAACATGTACAAGTGATGTGTAAAATATTGATATGTAACAAGTCCTAAAAGTAAAATGAATCCAATTGTGCGTATGTTGAATGAACCAGTTAATGTTATAATGTTATAAATGCAGGTTTACTTTCTGTAAGGCACTAATAATCTCAGCTGCACCAACAAGTTTTCAAACAAAACAAAAGTTCTTCCTCAGAGATAGAAAAGAAACCTATACAGAATCAAGCCCAGATGACTGTTGTATTTCGGGAGTTAGCACTTAAAAATGCCCTGTTTAGCATCGTTTCACTTCAACATCATTATTAGGACATGTAGTCTTGATGAGCATTATAAGATTCATTTTAATATATCTTGCCTGACCCAACTAGTGCAATTTTGGAGGAGCACTACCTTCTATTGTGACCGCCCTCTGTGCCGCACCACTACCAAGGTCTTCACCACAGAGCTCCTGAACCCCCACCAGCCTGAAATGTGAAAGCCACAACCGAGCTAGGTAGTTTCCCAAGCAGTGGCCAGAACAGCAGAGCTTCTGTGACTACCATTAGTGGAAAATTGTAGGAGTAGTCACCTTGGCCTCCCAGCCCGTACAACCCAACAACTCCCCGTGCTGCCCACTAATCATGAATTCCGATCTGCTGCACAAACCCTACAGCCTGACTCACCGTTAACAGGGACCATCTGGCAAAAATGCCAGTTAGTTCAGACACAGCTCACACCCTCCTGGCTGGTGGGAGGGGAGGAAGGCCAAGGCTCCGCAACCAGTCACAAAGAGCAGCCCCCAGGAACAGTGGCCCAAATGGACCTGGAGGTAGCAGCAGCCAACAAGAAAAGGTGTGGCAGCCACCCGCTGTAAAGATAGTACAAGACCATATCCGCGATGTGACCAACAAGAAGCCCAATTAGCAAATGTTCCCAGGCAAAGATCCTGGGCTTTGGTCCACTACGGGAAGTACTGCATGTAAAATGACATGTTTATTTTATAATATACGTTATTGTGTTATTCAACAATTTAGGAATTTAGTCATACAATGTACTGAATATTTCAACTTGGCGGGTACAAGTATAATTTTCTAATCTTTTTCAGCCAAAAGGAAAGCTCTATGAAACTTAACTCCAGTTTTAATGGATCAATGCTTTACTGAAAGTCATAATTTTCAGAAACGCAACCTGATTAAGTGAGGACACCCTATATCTCCTTTAGGCTGAATTCAGAGCAGCATAGAACCAACTATCAAGCACAGTTGATGAATGTACTAAAGAAAAAATAGCATTTCCTAACCTATTTAAAGAAAAAGATGGTCCATATATGATGTCTCCTGAAAAAGAAAGTCATCTGTTTAAGATGTTATTGTTATTTACTTGTTACTATATGCAAAGATATGAAATCAAATAGATTTGTTTAAAATGTCTTGCCTTTATCAACATTTTGGCCAAAATTTTCAAATAAATGTTCTATCAGTCTCTTGAAAATTGTGGGGAAATACAGATGGATGATCAGAAATTTATCTGAAAATGACAAGCAACAACATATTACACGAATTAATAGGAAGTTCAGTGAAAGGGTAATAATGTACTGAATTAAAGATCATTTATGTAGCTTCTAATGTTCACCGTCTGACTTGCAATACTGAAATGCACGGTGGGGTAATATTTGTGCTTTGAACATTGCTGTCTTGCTGCAAAATGGTTTGCTAATCCTGAAAAGTTTGCAGATATCAGAGCATCCTTACTTCCAGAACCTTACTGCCCTTCTCCACTATGCTATAACTTAAATTTTTTTCCTAACAGAGTGACTCTGCACGATTAAATCTGCCACTGTCTCGAGGAAGTAGTGTGGAGAGCCTGTCTGGAGGACGCACACAGTCTGCTGCTGCCACAATGGACGGAAAAAGATTGAGTGCTGACCTCAGCAATTATTCTGAATTGGAGGCTAGAATCATGAATGCTACCACAGGTAAAAAGTCTAGAACAAGAAGGCCAGAGCTGTAAAACAACAACCTAATAATTTTTAGATTAATATAGTGAATTTTTAGAATTTACAATTGGTAAAAAAAAGACATTTAATTTCTGAGCAGCATGGTTAGTACTGCTGCCTCTCAGCACCAGGGACCGTGGTCTGTTTCCAGCCTTGGTTGACTGTCTGTGTGGAGTTTACACATTCTCTGTGTCTGTGTGGGTTTCTGCCAGGTGCTCTGGTATCCACCCACAGTGGATTGGCAATATTGAATTGCTCTGTAGTGTCATTGGATGTGCAACTTAGATGGATAAGATGGTACATACTGGGTTACTGGGATAGTATGGAGGGCTGTGTCTGGGAGGGATGCTCTTTAGAAGTTGGTGCAGACTTGATGGGCCAAATGGCTTCTTTCTGCACTACAGGGATTCTATGATTTTGGCTTCTAAAGGTAACTTGTGTTTATTCCACTTCAAACTGTTGAGCTAATACTAATCAATCCTAGTAATAATGTGTTTTTTTTTGTAGCATTTTTGATTGGTAATCCTGTATAAGTGGTTATGTATTTTAACCACTGATGTGTCTGAAGTATATTGGTTAGCATTATGTTTACTAATTTCCAATAAAATTTAAACATATCACTTGACCACAGCTAATGAAGTACCTGACCTGACTTCGAGACTAGAGTGGCATTGAGGTTGTCGAACAGATTTTTGACCCAATGTATTTGTCACGCAGACCTGTTTCATCCTACCTGCTCAATGTTGCAGCTGCCTCAATATTGAAATCGTTCATTGCACTACAGTTGGTTAAATTAATATGGCAAATTTTAACATATAGGCTCTGTGTGTTTAAAGTTTAAGGTTTGTGGAGTTGCAAAGGGTGTTTCAATAAATTATTTTGTAATCTAGAAAGTTTGTTGTTCAATGCTTTAATTGTGCTTTTCCTGAGCAATGTGCCTCGTTACATTGTAGCATCTTTGCTTTTGCATGGTGCCTTGTGTTTTGCATGACTGGTTCCATGTAATTATTTTGTTTCTGTGACAAGACTGCATTGTTCTAATTGTAATGCGCTTCATACCCTTTTTAGCTATTTGTTGCATGCGTACCTGTATGTGTGTATTTTACAGCCCGTCCAAAGCCAAAGCGAGGCCACCGTAAAACTGCTTCATTTGGCACCATACTGGATGTTCCTCAGATCGTCATATCAGGTACCAGTTCTAACTACTGGGCTGGCTATCTAGCTGGCTGACTGCTGAAAAATATGGTGCTTGAATGCTCATTGCTCCAGATTGCAGAGAACCTTGTAGAATGCCACACAAGCCAGAAGAGCTTCTAATTTAACCCCGCTGAAATAAAATAATGGAAACTAGGAGTTAGCAGTTTTATGTCTTGCAAATTAGTTGAAATGTACACAAATCCTTTCTTAACCACAAATTGTGAAAGTGCTGGTAATAATTTAGTAATGCTACTTCAGTAGTCCTGTATTTATAGACCAAATTTTGAGCACTTTGTACTGGAGGAGATGATGATGACCTTCTGCAAACTTGATTTGCATAAAAGACTCAATCGTAATCTACCTTTTTAATTTGACCTAAAATTCTCCAGACTGAAAGTGTTGATGTTGCAGAATGTGTCCATTGTTGGAACACTTTTTTGGTTGTGCTCGGAGATAGGTCTAACCACTTTAAAATGTATGTAATGCAGGTTCCTCCAAAGAGAGACAACTATTACTACTACTAAATTTCCAGCTGTCAATTCAGCAGTGGCAACGAAGCCAAATGAATCCAATCCACACTTTTGTTTCTGATCTCGCCTGGCTACTTGTTACTGTATCCAGTTTCTTAATGAGTCAATGTATTGGCATTAATTGAATTTCCTTCATTTCTTGTTCCATGTCCCTCTGACAGCCACAAATGGTATTGTACCTACTTCCATTTTTGCAGTTTGTTCAGAGTATCCTAAATTGTCATTCGTCTTTACAGATGTAGTTTCTTGTTCAATTCATGTAGATAGTTTTCTTTTTTTGCATCCTGAGCATTTCCGGTAATCCTCTCAACCATCCTTATCTCATGTTACAGTGCTCAAATCTGTCTTTTAAAATGAAGATAGCTTAAAATGAAGTCAAAAACTCAAGCCTTTGTTTGACTAAAATATCTTTATTCTTTGTTATCCTTCAAAATTTCCAGAGGCAAGTCCAATAATTCTTTTGATGTGTTTTTTTTTCCCACACTAATTTTCCAAGCCACTGAAGTATGCAGACCTTTGCACCTCTTCAACCATATCCTTATAATCCTATTGGTGACCATTAATACTTTTTAAAAATCTTAAGCACTCAACAATTAATTAACAAAAATTAATACCACAGGTTGCATGCTTCTAACAAATGTAAACTTTATTAAACGTGTGAAGGCAAATTAAACAGGAACACTTTCTTAAAACAACACCTTATAAAAACTTGGACTATAAACGCAATTAGAAGGTTTATCCCCACTTTAAGGTACCAATTACTTTTTAGAAAATCCAAGGACTGTAGACTCTTCATGCTCTAGGATTGTAGACTCTTCAGGCTCCATATTCTGGCTATGGGAAATGAGTGAATATAAAGTAAACGTGCTACTATGGCTCTTTTATAGCTTTCTCTGACTAAATAATCAAGCAGACTACTATCTGCCACAAGACTCTGAGGTACACCGTAGATTTTTTTTTCATAGAGATATGCAGCGTGGAAACAGGCCCTTCAGTCCAACTCGTCCATGACGACCAGATATCCTATATAAATCTAGTCCCATTTGCCAGTATTTGGCCCCTATCTGTCTAAACACTTCTTATTCATATACCCATCCAGATGCCATTTTAAATGTTGTAATCATACGAGCCTCCACCACTTCCTCTGGCAGCTCATTCCATACATGCACCACCCTCTGCGTGAAAAAGTTATTTCTTAGGTCCTTCTTATATCTTTCCCCTCTCACCGTAAACCTACGCCTTCTAGTTTTGGACTCCATCACTTTGGGGGGGAAATGCCCTTACCTATTTATCATATCCATGTCCGTCATGATTTTATAAACCTCTAAAAGGTCATCCCTCAGCCTTTGACGCTCCGGGAAAATAACCCCAGCCTATTCAGCCTCTCCCCAGAGCTCAAACTCTCCAATCCTACCAACATCCTTATAAATCTTTTCTGAACCCTTTCTAAGTTCACAACATCCTTACTATAGCAGGGAGACCAGAACTGCATGCAGTACTCCAAAGTGGCCGAACCAATGTCCTATACAGCCGCAACATCACCTCCCAACTCCAATACTCCATGCACTGACCAGTAAAGGCAAGCATACCAAATGCTGTCTTCACTATACTATCTACCTGCAACTCCACTTTCAAGGAACTATAAACGTGTACTCCAAGGTCTCTGTGATCAGCAACACTCCCCAGGACCTTACCATTAAATGTATAAGTCCCACCCTGATTTGCCTTTCCAAAATGCAGCACATCACATTTATCTAAATTAAACTCCATCTGCCACTCCTCGGCCCATTGGCCCATCTGATCAAGATCCTGTTGTACTCTGAGCCTGCAAACTAGAACAAAGCTTCTGTAGTGATTGGAACAAGGTTGCCCAGGCACATTTATAGAATGAGTTCCCCGATTGGGGCTGTTAATTTGGTCCGATGAGGGAGCCCTGGCTGACAGGTACAAACAGGAGTGTCAGGGATTCCATTCACTCCAGCAGCTGGCTCAAAGCTGGATGGGTCAGTGCCATGTACTATGCACATGTAAATAAAGGGTGACTTGGTGACAGGATGCCAGCCTTCGTGGAGTAATTTCACTTCTAGTTGGTTGTCTCTCATGAAATCTGAACTGAACTGTCTGCTTCTGTTAGCAATCCTATGCACAGACAATTTAAAGAAACCTACCACCTCAACATTCTATTTCCATAATATTTTGGTATGTTGTTTGATGTTCTAAAATGGAAACGTAAATAAATCATTTCATCTTCCGTGCTGCTCTTTGATTCAGTAACCCATCTGAATAACTTGTATTGCTAATGGGATATCACTACCCCAACTCCAAGAATTTAAGGAACTTTATTATTTACAACCTGGTTTTACCCTCTGTTTTGACTGGAAACAGCATACATAATTTAAACATTACAAGAAAAGGTTGCAGACAGCTGGCTCTTATGCTAAAATAGAAGAATTACTTTTTTGTTGCTTTTGCATCCATAATCTTTTAAGATATACATATAACTCCAAGCCTGTTTAAATTGGATTTACTTTATATCAACTTGTGATTTAAATATCTTTATTCTTTGTTATCATGCTAAATTTCCAGAAGCAAGTTCAAGACTACTCTCTTGCTCTTTGCTATTCCCATCTTATCAGTTTCTCAAAAGATTGCTCCATTTATCTACAGATACAACATTAATTTCTAAAACTATAATATTCTAAAACATGTATAATGCACCAAACATTAATAACAAATCATTAAAACTATAACATATGCATCTTCCTGATGCTACCTAAATGTTATGATTTTTGTTGTTTTTGTGATAATCTGCAATCTGTAAAATAGACTGGCTGTGTAAATCATTTGCCAGCACGGAAATTGATGATGCAATAACTAATTCGGAATAAAAGCGAAGCATTACAAAAATTGCGTCAGGTGACATCTGCAGAAAGGGAAACAATGAACATTTCAAGTCTGTAACATTTCATTGGAACAAAATTAATAGTCTGCATTCACATTTTTAAAAAAAGCAGTGACATTGCTAGCGTTGAATCCATGCAATGAAAATTAATTGATAATGTAATTCAGAAAACTTTTAGCCCCGTCTCTAATCAATATTTGCAAACCTCCTACTGTCAGCTTACAATTGAAAAAGAAACTGAAACTGTTCAGTTCATGACACCAAATATGGATCACCTAAAGTGTTTTTATGACGAATGACTATTTCCAGTACAGTGCCTTAAATGCTAGCCATACAGAGAAATAAATAATTCTGCTGTTTTCTTTCCACAGTAGAGAAGTAACACTTGTTCCATCCAGTCTTGTTTTTCTGTACAAGACTTTTAAGTTTGAAATCTCATCTGCTTCTCAAAAACTTAATTGCTGATTAATTATCACATGATAACTGTGAAGCAAGACCTATAGAAAGGTGGACTGAGAGTAGTGTGGATCTTGTAGCTGCTCCTGAGATTCAGACTTACTTCTAGATTTACTTCTAGATTTCTCATAGTTATCACATTTCAATAGTAATAAGATTTTTTAATCTGATTCATCTTTACTTCTGTTATACTCAAAATCAACAAAAATAAAAAAAACACTTTTTTTGCGAACGGAGCTCTGCTAACAGACCTTTAGATTCAAATGGAGTTCTGTTAATTGACCTTTTTGGAGAGACCTACAAGTGGACGGCTTGGTTTTTTTCTATAAAATTATACTGTATGGCTAAGTATTTCCTCCAGAGAAAATTGCCCACTTGCAACCATTCTGTCCTGTTTTCTCACTCCTTTTGAAGTGAAATATGAATGTTTGATGCCTTTAGCAGGGTGCCACAGAAGCTGGCTTGGATCTAAAATGTTGTCTGCATTTTGTGACCACTTATGGTGAGGTTGTTTGTGCAAACACTGGAAGGATGTGCAGGAAGTTTTGCAGAGTAAGCCTATTGCAAGGTCAGTCCGCAACACTGATCTAATGCACAAAATGCCATTTACTACCTCTGTGCTCCAGCTAATATCCTCATTCTACCCCGCCATGATTATGTCTTCAGCAATAGGAAGGCCTCCACTGCCCTCAAACCAGCACTGTTTTAAAGAGATCAACTACTTTCATGTTGATTACGGACTGATTTCTACCAAATGCTATTGACCTAGTAAATATGTTTGAAACAAAAACAGAAATTGCTGGAGAAATTTTAGCAGATGTGGCAACCTCTGCGGAGAGAAAGCAGAGTCATCATTTCAGGTCCAGTGCCAGTAGAAGTGTTTGTGGGTTTTCACTACTGCTTGAAGTTGCTGATATCTACAGGGGGTGGTGGTACATAAAATAAATTCTTCGATTCACCAAGGGATCTGTTCAAATCTGTAACTGTCAGCCCTGGGTACTGTAGTTTCTTTCTGGAGATCGCCTGCAGATTGGCTAAGACAGTGACTAAAATGTGCAAGATCCTGAGGGGTCTTGACTGCTTAAAAATAAGGGTTTGCCCATT